GGACAGGGAGTGAGGGATGAGGAGTGTGAGGGATAGAGAGTAAGAGAGAGAGGGAGTGAGAGGAGGAAGAGGGGGTGAGGTGTGAGACAGAGACACACAGATGCTCGGCGTGGAGCAGTCACTCCTGTGCTGTGGACTCGTCACGGTGGGGCTGTCTTACCTGGGCTCGGCGTGGGGGGGTTGCTGTGGGTCATACTGGGGCTGGACTCACACTTGGGGGCTGACACGAGGCTGGACTCCGTCTCAATCCCATCGACAAACCTGCAGAGAGTGAGAGGACGAGACCAAGAGCTCAGAGGAGACAGGAGGGTGGGCAGAGAGACACTACTCCATCCCAGTGTGTCCCTGCCTCCCTGCGCCCTGAACCGAGCAGGACAGAGAAATGCCTCTTCTGGACTGGTCCAGCGCTCTTGAAGCCAGTAAGTGTGCCAAGTCAAGGCAGCTGTTCTTCAACAGACATGAAGCACATGGACGCACACAGATGTCAAGTCCAACATGAAGATCAGAGTCACGCTGCTGTGACTGGGGGGGGGTGATGCACTGTTCAGATCGGTTGTACAGCAGGCCAGTGTCAGTACTGTATGGCCGCTGAGGAGTGCATGTGAGGAGACACTGCTTTACCAAAGCCAGCCGCTAGATGTCAGCAGAGGGGCGTGTTGAAAGCAAGCAGAGAAGGTCTGAGTCAAAGTCGACAAAGGAGAACTGAGAAGAAAGGGAGACAACTTAAGTTGACTACAATCTACAAACCATGCGCTGCTGCCACCGATATCAGCAGATGTTCATTTCAAATCAAGGCTGGGGGTGCTGTGTAAATGCCTGTAAGTTCATTGTATTAGTTCTGTATTAGCTTTTTTAAACAGAAGCAGACAGGAAAGTCAGATTTTTTGTTTCAGTAATACATTTTTAGCACAGATCAGAGAGGGGTTAACAGCAGGGCACGTGGCCTCTCTAACGAATCTCGCTGTTCCAGGCTCTTGGTTAGCCATGCTGGGCTCCTGTACTGCACATCTCTTCCTTCTCGTCTCCAGCCGCTGTGTTGCCATGGACACCCGATCATGTGCTCCGGGGTAACCATAGGAACAGAACGCTGGCATCTCCACCAGCCCCTCTCGCTAGACAGCATGCTGGGAAGGAGGAGGACTGATGAGGGCCTTCAGGCAGAGCTCTTGTATTTTTCCATCTGTTCATCAGTCCTCGTTTACGTCCTGAGGCTGCCTGGCTGTTTTGGCTAGATTAGAGACTGCCTGGTCCACAGGCATCTTCAATTTGGGACTAAATACCGGATCAGCTCTGACTGAGTGACAAATAAATTGTTTCTTAGTAGGACTGAAAATCAGACCACACTCTTCCTCTTCAGGAACCTCCCAGGAGTCTCCTGGAGATAGTGTGGGCTGACCTGGAAGCTGTCTCTAGACGTGTGCCGACTGTCCTGATTCCCAGACAAAACAAACCAGCAGCAATTGAAATGATCAGACCTGGGATAGACAGTATATTAAACTTGTCCAAACAAGCACCCAATTTACTCCATTAGTGATTAAGAAAGGAGCTTGTCGTGCTGGTTCGGGTCTGTGGATATGTCCTACATGTCCTGTTCTGGATTTGCTCAGTATTCCATTGTGTTGTTCTGGACTGGATTGGTATTCCACGTTGTGCTGCTCTGGATTGAGATCGTTTGGATTTCTGTGTTATTCCAGCCTGTGGTGATTTTCTAAACTAGATTAATATTCTACATAGTGCTGATCTTCTAGATTGTGATGCTGGTTTTGACACACTAAGAGACACGCGCACACACTCAGAGACATGCGCACGCACACTCAGAGACACGCACACTCAGAGACTCGCACATTCAGAGACATACGCACACACAGAGACGCGCTCACACACACTCAGAGACACGCGCACACACATTCAGAGACACGCGCACACACGCACACACTCAGTGACACACGCTGTGTTATTTCTGCTGTGTTATTCCAGATGGTGTGATGTTCTAGACTGGATTGCTCCAGACTGGTGTGCGTGGTGTGTTACTCCAGACTGTGGGCGCGTCCGGGCCCTACCTGGGGAGCTCTGGGGGGGCGCTGAAGCTGACGAGGGGGATCTGCAGGGTGGTGGGCCTGCTGTCGGCGGGGGGGCGGAAGGGTCGAGGGGCGAGGAGTGGGGAGCGCAGGGGTGAGTTGAGACCCCTGGACAGGCGGAGGGGTGATCGCGGAATAGAGGACAGGTGTGACTGCGCATCTTCATCTCCCTCTTCATCCTCCCTGATCGAGGGCAGTTTCTTCACCAGACCCCCATTACTCTCCCAGTCCAGCTGGAACAGAGTGAGACGAGGGAGAGTGAATGTGACAATGTGACAGTCTGTCAGTAGCTTCTATCATTATTGCTTTGCGACACTGTGGTTGACCAGTCATGCCAATAGAGCTCGTTGAATTGGATTTTGAAAGAAACAGGGGAGAGTGAGACCAGCCACTTACACACCTGGCTGCTGTCAGAACAGAGCCCTGCTTCTCTGGCCAGCCAGTGTGTCTGAGGTGCGAATGGGCCTGCAGGTCCAGGTTAGTGTGAGTACATAGCTGGGGCAGAAGAAACTGTAGTGCATGGCAGTAAACATTGATGGTTCCCAGTGGCTACTCCTACCTAGGCAGTAACTGCTCTCCAAAAAGACATTTTTGAAGCAGGATCCCAGAGCAGCAGAACTTACTGACTTTGCCCGTTTTACCAAGTTTCTGCTGCATCTCCGAGTGTTCATCATCGAGGTACAGAACACAGAGAACCACCAGGGGGCAGCACATCACCGAGCTTCATCCTGCGCAGCCCTCATCTCCCTGTCTCTCACTGTCTCCTCCCATCTTTGTCTTCCTCCTGAGCTTTCCCAGAGGAGGGAGTCTCTTTGTTTAAGCTCTCTTCTCTTCCAGACAGCATGACCTCCCTCCTCTCCCCGAGTCAAAATCAATCCCCAAGGAAGGCTCTGTATCCAGGCTCGACCCTGCGGGGCAAGGCAGCATCCTCACATCAGTATAATCAAGTCGTGGCAGAAAGTCTCTCAGCGTCGTTTATTCCCTGGTAAACCTCTCTCTCCCCTCCCTTTCCTGCCCTCTCCTTCCCTCCTTCTTCTCAGGATTAAAAAGAAATTCAGAACTGCTCTGCTCCTCCTCCTCTCTCTGCTCTCCCTGTCAGATTCTGCCTCTGCCCTGCCCCCCCGTGTCGCGCTGCCTCTCTGGGGGTCTCCCCCGTCGGCCGCGGTTTATTTTTAGCTCTCGTGTCTAATCTTAGTAACGGAGAGCAGGCGGAGCTGCGGGGCAGCATGGTGCTGGGCACCGTGAGTGTGTGCGCTGCACGTGCTCGTGTCTTTTCCTTTTCTGAGTGCTTGTTGTTGAACCTGTGCTCGTGCGAATGTGTGAAAACGCACGTTTCTTCCTGTGCACGACTGAGTGTGCTCGTGCCCTTTTGTGACCATGCTGTGTGATTGTGTGTGTCTGCCCTCGGTGTCCAGTTGACAGCTGAGCACAAGCTGCTCCTGAACACTATCTAATGCAGGACTGCAGATCTCTTTGGATTAGCATGTTTCAGCTGAGTATGAGCTGCTCCTGAACACTACTGCAGGGCTGCACACCTCTGTGGCTTAACACCATGTTTCATCTGAGCATGTGTAGCTCCTGATCACTATCTACCGCAGGGCAGTACAGTTCTGTGGATTAACACGTTTCAGCTGAGTATGAACTGCTCCTGAACACTACCGTAGGGCTGCACACCTCTGTTGATTAGCGTGTTTCAGCTCAGCACGTGGAGCTCCTGAACACTATCTCAGGGCTGAACACCTCTGTGGATGAACAGCATGTCTTTGCATCTTGCTGCTGGTGCTGCAGTCAGGCTCAGCATCGTCGTTTCGGTTCAGGAGTAAAAGTTACTCACCTGCTAGCAGGAAAAACCCAAACGTTTTGGGGAGCACGGGGCTTGCAAGACATTTTTGGGGGGACAATAGGTTCAGGTTTTTGTAATCAACTGCCAAAAATCTCTTTAGTCTTGACCAGAAGAGACTACGAGGGGCGCCAATTCGAGTATTCAGGGTCCTCGAAGACACTGAGGAGGCCCTCCCAGCAGACCTCTGCAGAATGAACAGTGAAACACAAACCAGGGGGCACAGGAGGAAACTACGGAGAAGGGCAATAAAAGCCGACAACGGGAGGCACTTCTTTACACAAAGGGTTGTGGAAGGGTGGGACAAGCTACCCAGCCATATTGTTGAAGCCGATGCTCTGGCTGGGACCCTCAGCCATCAGATGAGCTAGATGGGCCAAGTGGCCTCCTCTCGTCTGCAGCCTCTCTGAAAACGTGTGCCTTTGAAGCCATGCCTGTTCATTCCTGTTCATGCAGTCTGTGTGCTGCCCCTGTGCTGTGCTGACACACTGCTGGTGTTGGCCAGTGGAGGATGTCCCTCCTCCCTGGGCTGTGTGGGTCTATTTTTATCTCCCAGATCCAATCTTAGTAACACAGCAGGCAGGGCTGCCGGGAGACACTGAGAGCGCAGGAGTGCCTCCCCTCCCCCCCGAGCTATTCCTGGCAGCACCGAGCACAAGGAGCAGCCACACAGGGATATTTCTGTGAGTGTGTGTGCGTGCCTGTCTCTCTGTGTGTGCATGCCTGTCTCTGTGTGAGTGTTTGCATGCCTCTGTAAGTGTGTGCATGCCTGTCTCTGAAAGTGTGTGTGTCTGTGTGCATGCCTCTCTGTGTGTGTGCCTGTCTCTCTGTGTGTGCATGCCTCTCTGTGTGTGTGCCTGTCTCTCTGTGTGTGCATGCCTGTATCTGAATGTGTGTCTGTCTGTGTCTCTCAATGTGTGTGTCTGTGTGCATGCCTGTCTCTCAATGTGTGTGTGTCCCTGTGTGTGCATGCCTCTGTAAGTGTGTGCATGCCTGTCTCTCAATGTGTGTGTGTGAGTCTTGTTTGTGCATGGCTCTCTGAGTGTGTGCATGCCTGCCTGATTGTGTGCAAGTGCGATTTGCTCTGTACTGTAAGCTGTTCAGTTGTACGGCTGTCGTTGCTGGTATTGCACACGCTCTTAAAAACACTTAATGTATCCACGGCTCTCAGACACCCCCTTTGATTTCTTAACAGTTTTCAGTATTATCTGAAAATGCAGGCATGCAAACACATGCAGGTGTGTGTGTGAGTGTGTGAGCGGCCGGCTGTGGGTGTTGTGTGTGGGGCTGAACTCACGTCGAGCCCGCTGCCCTCCCGGAGGTTGTAGGTCAGGTCGTGCTGGATCTCAGTCACGAAGCGGTGGGCATATTCGGGGTACAGGCGCAGCACCTCACGCAGCCCCTTCAGGCTGATGTACTGCAGGTCACAGTAGGTCAGGGCCTTCACATTGGCGTTTGTCTTGATCACCTGCTCCTTGGTCAACGAGTCCGAGCCAATTAGGTCTCCTTTTCCTGCAACAAGGAGAGAGAGAATCAGAAATCAACAGAGAGCTGCTTATCTCACTGAAGTGTCTCAACTGACAACAATTCAGAAATAAAATGACTTGTCCGCACCGTCTCAGGTCTAACCACTAGCCCACACTGCCTCCCTCTCTCTCTCCCAGTGCC